CAAATCACTTCTCAGTGCCCTAGTCAATGGTCTAGTATCAAGTTACAGAACAACCTATGTGCATTGGTAAAGGGAATTTCCATATGAAGAGGTCCCTACACCAATGAAATCATATGCCCTGATCAAAAAAGAAAAAATAAGTTCTAGACACTGGGGTACAAAGATATAATAGTTTTAGTGATAATAATTTCTACCCTCAAAGAACATACATTCTATTGGTCAGATCACATATGGAATACGTATTTCGTTTTGGCCCACTCTCTAGCCCTCCCCGTGGTTGTTCTCTTCCGAATTCACTCCAATCAGAGGAGCAGAAGCATCTGAGGGACATGATGAGGTATGAGTATCCAAGGGGATGAAATCTTCATCACGAGTTTCCTGGTGATGGGCTTTTCCTGGAAGGCAGGATGGAGTGGGGAAGAGAGAAGTTTTCAAGATGATGGAGTCAAAACCAAGCAGCAGAGCTGGTGGGAGGAAAAATAGGAAATAATAGGAAAAGAACTTGAGATCTAAAACCAGGAGATCAAGTTCTGAATTCTTTGTGTCGCTGGGCAAGTCATTTTCTTTCAGATCTGTTTCATTTGTAAAATGAAGGGATAATACTAGGTCTCCTAAATGCCTTTCAGCTCTCACATTGTGATGCCAGGAATGGTGAGAATTAAACAATAAATCTATAAATCTACTTCTTAATCATGTGTTCTCTTTACTTCACCGGGTGTTAGTCATCTCTCTGTTAACAAAACAAGATGCACAAGAGATTAAGCACCTAGGTAATAAACATCATGAGAAAGCCTGAACTCCACCTCGCATCTTTTCCCACAGAATCATTGCTAAATGAGAAATTTTCCCTGGATGTCAGGGAATTAAAAAAAAAAAACCAACTTTCCCACCAATTAGACCTGTGCTAAAATGGAGTGGACTACCCAAAGAGGTAAATAATGGATTTCCCACACTAAGAGGTCTCCAAGTCAAGTCTGGATGGTCATTTGTCAGATACGGTGGAAGGGATTCTGTTCAGTTACAAATAACCTGAGTTCCCTTCTAAATCTTCTTTTCTGTAAATGTCTGATTTAGTCAGATCTATGAGATGATTTCCAGACTGTCAAGTAGCCTCACCTGCCTGTGTGCCCAATGGTGCATACCAAAATAACCCATTTAGGAAAAGGACCCACATGTACGAATATTTATAGCAGCTCTTTTTGTGGTGGCAAAGAATTGGAAATTGAGAGGATGCCCACCAATTGGGGAATGGCTGAGCAAGTTGTGGTATATGAATGTAATGGAATACTATTATGCTATAAGAAATGATGAACAGGTTGACTTCACAAAAACTGGAAAGACTTGCATGGTCTGATGCTGGGTGAAGTGAGCAGAACCAAGAGAACGTTGTACACAGTAACAGCCGCGTTGTGCAATGACTAATATTGATAAACTTAACCCTTCCCAGCAGTACAAGGATCTAAGACATCTCCAGAGGTCTCATGATGGAAAATGCTATCCACATCCAAAAAAATAACTATGGAAATTGAATTGCTATTTTTTTTTCTCTTCTATTGAGTTTTATTTCCTTTCTGATGGTTCCTCCTACTGGTTTAATTTTTACTTACATCACTAATGTGAAAATATGTTTAATAGGAATGTAAATGTATAGCCCATATCACATTGTGTGCCGTCTTGGGGAGGGTGGTGGGGAGAAAGGGGAAGAAAAATTTTAAACTCAAAAGCATATGGAAGTGATTGTTGATAAATCAAAATAAATTAATAATTTTTTTAAATAACCCATTTATATCTGCTTATAATTATTTGTCTTTAAAGTACATTGGAAACCCCCCCCCAAAAGTACATTGGCACAGATAGAAGAAATATTTATTATAAAACATATTTCCTTGTCAATTGACTTGCTGTTCTTTTAGTTTGACTTCCTATGCAGCACTTTTCTTTGGCGGACTTCTAGCCAAGGAAGGGTGAGTAAATATGTGCTCCATTTCTCAACTTTTGTTGTTGTTCAGTCGTCTCAGTTGTATCTGACCCTCAGTGACCCCATGTGGGGTTTTCTTGGTAAAGATACTGGAGTGGTTTGCCATTTCCTTCTACAGTTCATTTTACAGATGAGGAAACTGAGGCAAACAGGGTTAAGTGACTTGGTCAGAGTCATATAGCTAGTTAACTGTCTGAGGCCAGATTTGAATTCTGGAAAACAAACCTTCCTGACTCCAATACTCTAGCTACTGTGCCACCTAGATGCCCTAATTTTTTAACGGAGGTCTACAAAACCTCAAGAGGTCTTGTGGATAAATGTTAGGTCTGTGAACTTGAATGGGAGAAAAAAAAATCCATCTTTATTTTCACTCACTTTTAAATTTTAAAAAATTACTCTGAGAAGGGGTCTATAGGTTTTACCAGACTGCCAAAGCAGTCCTTAACACAAAAAAAGGTGAAGAATCTCTGTGTTCAGGGACTTTTTTTTTCAGATATAGATTGGAAGAGATAGCCATTGGGCTTCCTTCCAACTCTCAACTGCTGTGATTCCCTATGTCCTCCTCCAATGTCGCATTGTGACATGTTGAGCTTGGGTTCCCAAAATCTACATCAGCACACCTTGGAAACTCTACTGACCTGAAAATATTTCTAGATGGAGCCAGGGACAGAATGCAGGATAATCCATGTATAAGCTCAGCCAGATTCAGAGAGGTTAATCACCAGGCAGTGGGCTATAGGATGGTGAACTTTTTTAGCCACAGATAGGTGGCTAATGGCCACATAAACATGGACTCTCTCCTGGTTCCCTTGGCTCTGATTTTCCCTTTCTTGCTGGGACCAGGCATGATCCACTTTCCTGCAGTCCTCAATGTGTTGCCTTCTCTCATGATAAAGTGAACTTCTTGAGGACAGGGACAGTTTTACTTTCCTGTATTCATGACTTCAGTGTTTTGCACAATTCCCAGTAGGTTGAAAGAGCTTAACAAATGTCCTACCTATCTACCTATCTATTTACCTAACTCCATCTATCCACTCATGTATCTATCTATCCATCCATCCATCCATCCATCCATCTATCTACCTACCTACCTACCTCTCTAAACTGCCTATTGAGTCCTCAATGATAAGAATTACCCGAAAAGGCATAAACTTTGAACCAGGTAGAGGAAAATTAAACTCAACCATGTAAACTTCAGTTTCTTTTTCCAATTTCTTCCTTAGAAACACAACTGATTAACATAAGGGTAGCAAGGTTTTAAAAACTCCAGAGAAAGAAAAACTAGAAATCCCACAAATAACCTCCAGTTGGCAACAGATAGAGCAACGTTAGCAACCCCCTTCGTCAAGCCAGTGCCATGCTGGTATTCTCCAGGAAACATATGTTCACCATCCTTGGATAGCAGTCCAACAAAAATGGACTTTCAGATGAGTGCTGTATAGGTCAGTGACGTGTGTGATCTTGAGGCAAGTCACAACCTCTGTGCGTCGGGACCTCACGTATACAATAAGGACGCTGGATTCTGCCTCTGCCAACTTACCACCTATGTGACCTTGTCACAAGTCACAAGAACCGCCTTGGACTGGCATCAGTTTCATCATATATACATAGATGGGCTCTTGGCTCCCTCTTACACCTCTGAACCTATGACATTATGAACCTTTTCCCATCACTGCTGATCATTAAATGGACAATGTTTCTTTCCTTCCACAGGATGGGCTCTAAGATGCTTCATATCCTTAGTTGTGAATAGCACCATGAATGAATCAGACAGGAAGGGAAATTAGAAGTGCTTCTGTGCACACAAATATCTTTGTAATCAGCAATGACAAGAAAGAAAATACAGAAGCAAGATCCGTTAGTAGGAATTTTTGTTTTTAAAAGGCAGAAAAGAAAGTTTTAAAGGCCTGATAAAGTTGTCAAGCTCCTCTACAAAACCAGGGCCTAAAATGCCATTTCACTGTTTTTTATTTGTTTCTTTTAAGGAACTGACCCAAATGGGTAATTTATATTTCACACCCACCTGGAACCCAAGCTTAATTGTATTTCATGTTTTCACTGAGGAATAGAAAATTCCTGCTTGCCACTTTTGGGCCCACCTTTGTATGGCTGTTTGTAAATGTTTAAACAGGTAAGCCTAATGGATTAGCTAAGAAATTAGCATTCTTGCCTAATGCATGCCAATCATAACTCAATTTTGCTCAAAGAATCCAGCAAAAGGCATTTTTTCTGCACTCATTAAGATACTCTCAATTGGATCTGAAAATGATTCACTTGGGAAACAATCACATAATTGGAAGGGACACCACTTTGTCTATGTGGCCTTCCTAAAACATGGCACCTTGGAATGAATACCACAACTAAGATGCAGTCTGACTGGGGCAGTGTACAACAGGACTATACATCTTGCTGGCAGATTCTATAATAATGATGCAGGAGTATAATTTTAAGGGAGTAAACAGTGGCAGGGAAGAAAAGGAGAGGTACAGAACAGAAGAAAGAAGTAAAGGTTGAAACAGACAGAACAAAGAATACATGTGGAAAAAAAGTCACAGAAGTAAAGGTTGAGACAGACAGAACAAAGAATACATGTGGAAAAAAAGTCACAGAATCTTAGAAATGTTAGAACTAGAAGGAATCTTAGATCATTTAGGCCAACCCCCTAACTTCACAAAAGAGGAAAGTAAAGCCCAAAGAAGGAAAGGGTACCAAAGCTAGTAGGTGGTCAAGCTAAAAGCTGAACCCAGGTTTCCTGACTCCCAGTTCAGCACTTGTTACAACTTTGCACTTCAAGGAAGAACAAGACAATGGTTACAGACTTCCAGAAAAACAAGATAACCATCCCATTTAAGGTTATAATCTCCTTTATTCCAAAAATAAATATTTCACCTTTGAGTTGATATATTTCAAATCACATGAAGCACAGAGACATACAGTCCCTTTGGAAGTGGTGAAGCACATGTATGAAAGTCATAGGAACTATGCTCTAGATGACAGGGAAGAATGGAAAGCTGATTCATACAGATTTATGGCACAGCAGATTTCTCCTTTCTCCAGGTGGAGCTACATATACATCGGTTTTAGAAAGAAACACCCCTTTTTTAAGTCTGAAAGGCACATGAAGTGGACCATAAGGTGTATGGCACATTCACTGATAATACATTTCCTATTACATTCCAAGAGAACTGAGAAACTTTAATCAAGCCCAAGGCCAGAGGAGATAGGGAGCTTCAGGCTCAGTAGCATTAAAGTCTCTGAATTTAGAAGTAATTTTTTTTCCTTTTTGGCTTTTCTTTTCTGCCTCCTTTTTTCTCTCCCAATCTAGTCCCCTCCAGTCCTGAGACGGCATGAGGCATGGCTCACTCAGTGGTGGCGGGGCGTGTGGCAACGTAGACAAACACCACGATCAGGACCACCACCACAGCCAGCGTAGGCAGCACGACGGTGGTGATCTGCTGCCGGGCCTCCTGCATGGCTTGCTTCCGCTCCTTCTTATCTTTCGAGGTTTCCTTCTTGGGTTTCCCTTTGAGCTGCCTCATCCTTATCAGGAAGACCCTGGGAAAGCTTTCCCAGAACTGGGTGTCAAGAATGGTGTCTTCCTCCTGCTTCAGACTTGATGCTTTCTGAGTGAAGACCTACAAGTAAGAAAAAAGGACAAGTCTTTTAAGTGAAGCTGCTGGGGAAGCATCTGGCATTCCAGAAGATGTCTATAGCTTATCCCATGTGAACTGCACCTGATGGCCATGTAGTATAGAGTATTTAATTAAACTGTATTGTTCATTCTGGCAAAAATGCTTCTCAGAGGACATTCTCTATCATCAGATAGATGGCTCCTGACCCAAACTCTTTCCATTTAAGACAGAAGAATGGATCCTGAAAGACACCAAATTTAATGATGACCCAATCATGATTTCAGAGGACTCACAGTGAAATATGCCTCCCTCCTCTCTGGAGAGAGGAGGGGATAAACCAAAAGGGTGGAAGTAGGCCCATGTTGTCAGATATGGCCAATGGGGCAATCTGTTTCACTTAACTGTAGTTCTGTGTTACAAGGAAGGAAGTCAGCACAAAACATCGGCAGTGTTTTAAAAGGAAGACTTAAGTACAGCATGGGAGAAAGAACTAGAAGGGACCACAGAAGTCCCCTAGTCCAAGCCTCCTCTCACTTACAGCTGAGGAAACATTTGGAGGAGGACTAATATGTCCAAAGTCTAAGTGGCAGAGTCTGGATCTGAGCCCACCTTTTCTAACACAAAATCCAGGGTTCCTACTACACCACATGGAGAAGGGTGGTTTGGTTAGAACACAATACATACAGGAGAGAAATGTCCAGTAAGGCTGGTAATAAAGGTTGGGGCTAAGTGGTAAAGGGTTTTAAAAGCTAACCAGGAATTTGTTTGATCTGAAAGGCCATAGGAAGCTACCAGACTTGACTGAGTATGGGAGTCATATGTCAGATGTGCACTTAGGAAAAATTAGAGTAGAGGACGGATTGGAGCGGTGAGAGACCAGTTAGGAAGCCATTACAACAATCTACATGAATGGTGAGGGCCTGAAATGAAGTGTTATCTATGTGAGGGGAGAAAAGGGTTAGATCTAAGGGATGTTTGTTATAGAGATAAAAATGGCAAGATGCGGCAACTGACTGGATATGTGGGATGAAGAGGAGTGGGGGATTGAGGATAATGCCAAGGTTATGAAACTGGGAGACTGGAAGGATGGTGGTGCCCTGGACAATGATAAGTAAGTTTGGATGAGGGGAAGATTTGAGGGAAAAGATAATGAGTTCACATGCCCAAAGGGCAACCAAACTGTACTTACCCTTTGATCCAGCAATACCACCACTTGGTCTGTATCCCAAAGAGATCATAAAAAAGGGAAAGTGACCTATTTGTATAAAAAGTATTTATAACAGCCCTTTTTCATTGTGGCAAAATATTGGAAATTGAAGGGATGCCCATTAATTGGGGAATGGCTGAACAAGTTGTGGTATATGAATGTAACGGGATACTATAGCACAATAAGAAATGATAAGCAGGCAGATTTCAGGAAAACCTGGAAAGACTTGTACAAACTGATGCAAAGAGAAATGAGTAGAACCAGTTGTGTGATGGTCCACTATGAATGACTCAGCTCTTCTCAGCAACAGAATGATCCAAGACAAGTACAAAGGACTCACAAAGGAAAATGCTGCCCATATCCAGTTAAAGAACTAAAGGACTATGAATGCAGATCGAAGCATATTTTTTTCACTTACTTTATTGTTTTTCATGTTGTTTTTCCTTTTGATCTGTTTCTTCTTTCACAGCTGTGACTAATATGGATATATGTTTTACATGATAGCACATGTATAACTTATATCAAATTGCCTACAATTTTTAGAAGAGGGGAGGAGAGAGAGGGAGAAAAATTTGGAACTCAAAATCTTTAAAAAATGAACGATAAAAATTGTCTTGACATGTAATTGGGGAAAAAAATAAAATACTACTAAAAAAAGATAATGAGTTCAATTTTGGATATTTTGAGCTTGAGATGTTACTGGGACATCCAATTTGAAACAACCAATAATCAAAGAGTAATGGGGGATTGAAGCTCTGAGGAGAGACCACGGATGGATATATAGATCCAGGAGACATCTGCATTAGAGATGATAGTTAAATTAATGGAAGCTGATAATACAGAGAGAAAAGTGAAAAAGGACTAGAGCAGAACCTTAGGGAACACCTCCAGTTAGGGGGTAAGATATGAACAATAAACAAGCAAAGGTGATTGAGCAGAAGTCAGAAAAATAGAACCAGGAGAGTTACAAAAACCCAGGGAAGAGAGAGTATCCAAAGGGAGGCAGTGGTCAACAGTGTCAAATGTACAGTGAGACTAAGAATGAGGACTAAGAAAAGACTGTTTGATCTAGTAATTAGGAGATCAATGGTAACTTTGGAGAGAACCATTTCAGTTGAGTGATAAGGGCAGAGCTGAGTTGTGAGTGGGTAAAGGAAGTAGAAGCAGTAAGTACAGACAAATTTTTCATAGAATTTGCCTGGGAAATGGAGGACAGAAATAGGATAACAGATTGAGGGATGGTAGTTCTAGTAAACATCTTTTAAGGATGGAAGAAACAGACTTGAGCATGTTTGAAGACTTGAAGGCAGTAGGAGAGGAACCAGTATAGATAAGGAGAAGCTGAAAATGGGGGGGGGGATGCAATCTACTGGAGAAGACAGGAGTAGACTTGACAAAAACAAAGGCCACCTCTTTGTCAATGACTGGGGGAAAGGAGAGAATAGCAGATGGCATCACTGGGATTTTGAGTTGAAGAGACTGGAAGAAGAGGAAGCTCAAGTTAAATGGCAAGGCTAGGGGTAGGGGTCAGAGGGGTGGTGCAGGAGACTTGAGCAGGGAAGAGAAGGTTTGGAATTAATTTTGTGGGAGATAGGAAATCAATCAGGGAGGAATAAAAGGACTTCCTTGCTATAGTGAGGGCCTGTTGAGGTTGAATAACATCAATGCATAATGTAATTCAAAAGTCAGCACGCATGACTGTGACTTTTTCCAGCTTCATTCAGCAAATGGTGAATTACAGCAGAGGAGGAAGATGACAGGAAAAATCAAGTGTTGAGGTTTGTAAGAAATAAATGACAACAAGACAAGGGGGCAAGGGATTCGGGAACAAAGGACAGTGTAGAGTGGAAATGGCTAATAAGTGGGTGACTGGGGAGTTCATGGAAGGTCTTTGTAAGTGCAAAGAAAAAGTTTAGGATAGGCAAGGCAGAGGGAGAGGCAGAATGATAGCAGGTTATGGCTAGATGGGGGAACGTCAGAGTTTCTAACTAAGGAAGTAAAGACTTGTGAATAATGGTAAGATTCAGTGGAGTAAAGGTCATGAGATTTAAAGAAACTAAGGAATTGGGAAGGTAGGGAATTTTAAGGAACATTTATGTAACTATTCAAGTCCCTTAGAATTAAGGGCAGAAGTTGTTGAGCAGAGAAGAGGGTGAACCAGTGCTTAGCACAATGCCAGGAACATAGTATGTGATTAATAAAGGAATAAATGCTCATTGGCAACTGAACTCCTTGAGAAAGGAGGGACAGTGACTTGGAGGTCAACATACTACAGCCACCACGATATGGAGTGGGTAGAAAATTCTGAATCGGTGGACAATAAAAGGAGGGAAAGCTGTGGAGTGATAGAGATAGAACATCTAGAAGGGACAATGAGGAACGAGGAGTACTCCACCTCCCTCTCCAGCTCCAGTGTGCTGGGTACAGTAAGTCCAGAGAGAACAAGTGGGGATGTAGTGTGGATAACTTCTGCAGTGGGGATAGTCAGGTGGGAGCCAGGTCTCAGTAATAACAGATTGAGAGATGGGAAGTAGATGGAAACAATAAAAGGAAAGAGATCCAAGATGAAAGGGAATTTATTGTCTATAGAACAGGAATTCCAAAGAGCACAGTGAAAGGGGTAGGCAGATTGGAATGGGACACAGTTCAGGTTAGCACTGAGGAGGAATTAGGATGAGAAATGGAAAGGGGCCAGGAATAGTTATCTCCTAAAAAACTAGTGATTGCTTATTACACGGATAGGGAGAGAAACAGGAGGAACCATAGGAGTGTCGTAGAGCATCTGGGTTCACTATAGGTGAAAATGCTCTTGTAGCTGGTAGAGGAGGTGGGAGGTGGGGTTGTGATGCAGCTGCTCCTACCACTATCCAATCCCAGACACAGATGAAGTTACTGGCCCTAACTCTTGCAATCAGTTATACATATGTCCCCTTATTTTAGAACAAAGATGTCTCCTGACTTAACTACCTGCTGGAGCTCTTTTCTAGTGACTGTCCAAGGGAACCCTGATAAGGAAAGAGAGATCAATACCATCATTCTATCTGGTCCTGCCTACTGCCTAGTTCCTGGCCCATATTTGCACCTAGCTTCTGGAATTCCAACTCCTGATTCTACTATGATAAACTCTCTGAACTCCTTGCGACACAAAGGAAGTAGCCATCTTACTGTCTGAAGCTGTGAGCTAAATGAAACTCACTGCTAATAACCACAGTAGAGAACTTCTTCAGGGACTTATTATTGAGTCTGCCACTCCTCAGAAGAAGAAAAGGAAATTCATTCCAAGAGAGTATCCCTCCAGCAAAACAGAGCGTTATGCAAGATATTATATCAGCAAAATGGTGGCCAGGATCCCCTTTTCCCATTCTTCACCAATTCTGTCCCTGAGTAGTGGAGACGATAACCACGGAGAAAGGAATGGAAAGTTCATGCTTGAATGTCACACTGAAAAAATATTGTGGCAATTACTTGCCCCTGGAATCTGTGATTGTGGTTTAAGTTCTTTGTAAAGAGACAATAATTAAACAATATTAATAATGAACATATCTATACCATTCCATACTAATATGGCTTATAATTAGTACCAGTAGTAGTATTCGTACTAGTAGTAGTAATAATAATACTACATAAGGATAACAAATGCTTTATATAGCAGTTTAGAGTTTTTAAGCATCTATGTCCAAACAGCCCTGAGGTGGGAAGTACAGCTGCTCCAGAACCAGAGCATTTCAGAGTCTTAGAGCTGTAAGGGACCTCAGAGGCCTTCTATTCCAACCTATAACTGAAGAAAAGGCCCCCAGCAAGGGAGTTTCATTCAGTCTTCACTCGAAGACCTCCAGTATTAAGGAAACCATGAATTCTTGGAGAACCCACTTGTGACTTTTGGATAGCTCTAACTGTCCAAAAGTTTTCCCTAGGGGCAACAAGGTGCAATGGATAGAGCACTGGGCCTGGAGTTACCAAGACCTGAGTTCCAATCTACTCTCAGACACTTAGTAGCTATGATTCTGTGTAAGTCAAGTAATGTAACCTATGTTACAAACTTTCAGTTTCCTTAACTTACACTGCAGGGTTGGTGTAAGGATCAAATGAAATAATATTTGTAAAGAATTTAGCATGGTGCCTGGCACAGAGTGGGTGTTCCCTTCTTCCTCCTTCCTTCTTATCCTATACTCTCTCCCTCTCTTCCTTCTTTTCCTTTCCTCCCTCCTTCCTTCCATCTTCCTTCCTTTCTCCATTCTTCCTTCCCTTCCTTCCTCCTTCTCTTCCTCTTTCTTCCTTCCCTTCCTTCTTCCTTCTTTCCAGAGATCCCAAATCTGCAACCTCTTACCCACTGCTTCTAAATCTGCCAATGAAGCTATGTAAAACAAATCCTAATACAATCTCCAATTTGTTAACATTACTTCACGTCCATTTAGGGTTTTAAACTTTACAAAGCACTTTCCTTAACAACCACAGAAAGTAGGTATGTGGAAGTATTTTAAGAGATGAAGAGACTGAGACTCAGAGAGCATTAGTGACTTTTCTACGTTAACACATCTAGTAAGTGTTGGAGTCAGAATCTAAACTCAAAAATCCAAATCCAAACTCCAAGCCCAGAGTTTTGTTTTTTTTTCACTCCCACCATACCAGATTGGAAACTGAGACACAGAGAGTTAGCCTGAGTGGATCAAATGAGATAAGACAAAGTGTGCCAAAAGTCTTAGTCCAGTTTTAAGTTATTAAAGCCTGTATATGTAAAGAGGTCTGCTAACCTTAAAGGGCTACGTCAACATTAGCTATTATTACTCCTGTTATTGCTCAAGGACTCAGACAATAGGTGGCAGGCAGGACTCCTGGTTATGTACTGACTGCAAATGATATCAGTTCAGCAAAAACCAGTAGTCTCACTCCCAAGGTCACAACTCAGGGTCCCCAACTCCCACCTAAGAATAA